GATCAGATGAAACGATGACCATGTAAATCATACGTGGATCCCAGTGAGTGTCCGGAAATACAGCAAAATAAATAAATAGCGCTTTTTAATCGCGCCACAAAAAAAGTCAANGAGATCAGATGAAACGATGACCATGTAAATCATACGTGGATCCCAGTGAGTGTCCGGAAATACAGAAAAATAAATAAATAGCGCTTTTTAATCGCGCCACAAAAATCGGCGGNCGCGCCACAAAAAAAGTCAAAAAAAATCGGCGCCCGGATCTGTTTGAAATTGGTTCAAATACTGACTCTCGGAGATTATAAAGTAACAAAGTCCAAAGTCCTACCTGGGAGTGGTAAAGAATTCCCCTGCGATTGGGAAAATCATTTACTAGTATTTGTCGAGTCATAATGAAACAAATATTTATAAAACCGAGAATAAACAATAATTATTACGGGCAGCCGTCGTCTCGTCGGACCGACGAAAGCGGGCAACAAAAAAGCAAACGTAAGTATACTATAGATTTATGCACGCGTACCGTTTAAAAAGTAACATCGAAATTAAATTTTAATTTTCACAGGGTGTTTCATGTTGCAACAGCCCGTACCACCTTAAGTGGGACTGCCGAAGTAAAGGTAAAATAACCTTCAATTATCTTTCATGTGTTCAATATATTTATCTTTATTTTAGAAACGTTAAAAAATAAAATAACAATGAAAAAGCGTTTGAAAATCGCGAGGCGAAAAGTGGCGACATTGCGACGCCTTCTTAAAGAAGCTAAGGAGGAATCGGCACCACAGCAGCAGGAGGGACCACCATCTCCTCCTGACGTAGAAAGCCGGAGCAAGATATGAGATGCATAGGCGTAACACAATTAGAGGTAGAACTGTTTTGGTAATTGTAATATACTAAGCGTCGCGCTCCGCCAAACGGTTCGGGAATCGAGGCGATCGGAGAAAAAGCTGAATTTTAAAAGGGAAAAAGGGTAAAATATGTTCCAGGTGCAGCTTATTTAGAGGGGCTTAGGATTTTAGTATACAGGGTGGCCCACCACTCACTGACAACTTAAATAACTTTTGATCCAGTTAATATTTTTAGTTGATTTTTTTTTTAAATAATAGTTATACGTTAGGTCTATAGCTATATCTCAATAATTAATTTTTTTACATTTTATTAAAAATATTAATTATTTTAAAATTTTAAATAAAAAGTAAAAAAAAAATCTAAGATAGCTATTTTGTAGAGTAGAATTTAAGAAAAATTTTAGTAAAAAAATATCTTATTAATATTCAGTAGTAAATATTCTGTAGCGTTTTGAAGTTTGTGAAATTTTGAATTTTCATGTACTATTTTACGGTATTAAACATTGAAATACGTATTGAGAAAAGGACAGATAAAACGCTATCTTTTCAATATACTTTTGAATGAGAGTGATAAGTAATAATTGCCTTAACTAATTTCTTATCATGGTATTTATGCCAAGTTTGTAATGTATTCACACTATCATCATATGTATACACAGTAATCATGAAAAGATAGCGTTTTCTTCTGTCCTTTTCTCAATACGTATTTCAATGTTTGTAACCGTAAAATAGTACATGAAAATTTAAATTTTTACAAACTTCAAAACGCTACAGAATATTTACTATTGAATTTTAATAAGATATTTTTTTACTAAAATTTTTCTTAAATTCTACTCTACAAAATAGC